TTTTTTTTGTCTTTCCTTTAATACTTTCTTTTGTACTAGATGAAATTTACAACGGTCCGTTCTTCAGCTATTCTAGAATTTCAGAAAACTGTAGCAAGCGAGACATCGGCTGAAGGAAATGAAGCGTTTCATTTGTTTCAGTATAAGAATCTATACCAGAGCGACAATTATTACTACAAGCAGTTGGGTTTTATTACACACTTGCAAACAGAGTTTCCTTTCTATTTTCGTTATCATAATTATGATTTTAAGGTCTATTGTGACCGACCTATGATTGTTTACTCTGTGTTGCCTCCTGACTAACCTAGGCATTTGTTTGATGATCTTGTGAGCAGAACTTTAAGTGCCATTGAAGTGATAATTATAATCGCCTGGTGGAGATGAGGGGGTTTTATTGCTGTGCTCAACACTCCATAATGTGTACAAAGAAAGTAGGATTTAAGGAAAATCACTTGTTTTAAGTACTTTCATATGAAGGCTGTTTAGAATTGATATAGGAGGTTTTTTTTATGTAAAGTTCATTAAAGTCCAAACAAGAGTTATAATTTTAACTAAATGAATTTCGTATTAATAAAACTTTCTGACAACCATAGCTGGCGTTCATTGATAGCTAATGAACAGCGCCTCCCCTACAACGAATGTAATAGGGGCGGGATCATTGTTGTGTATTTACCGACATTCCCTTCCATGTGTGGTTACCGTTCCTTAGAAAAATTTTTTTCCTCAATTTAGTTCTGCCTTGGTCCGATATGCCTTTGTCTTTGGTTAAAACAGGCATCGTTGTTCTGTGTTCTAGGGCTTTTTTTCTCTCGCCGTTTTCCGAGCTGGATGTGGCAAGGGACTATTGGACGAGGGGTTGCTTGTGGGGTAGTAAAAAGAGAAAGCCTTCTAATACTGGCTAGCTTTGGTTCTACTTTACACAATTAAAGTGTCTGTTTTTTATAAAAGATGGTTTTTTAGAGCAAAAGAATTCTTCACTGTCACACTGCTGCTTTAGGGAATGGTTTTACAGCTAACTGTTCAGATGTAGCCCTAAACGGAAGCAGGATTTATCATCACTCACGTACTGTTTGTAAATTATTAGTTGGTTGTGTTTATCTAGGTTTTTTCTAAGTGCACCACCTGAATAGACGGCGTGAACTTCTTTTTAGGAAGTCTGTCTTCACTCCCGTAAAGAATGCAATTTTTTTTTTATTGAAGCACACTAGCGAGTCCTTTCTAACTTTGCTTTTTATTAGGTTTTTTTCTGGTCACAAATTTCTGACTGTTTATGAATTCCCTGACTACTCTAGACTGGTTTTTTCAGAAACAAATGTAATTTCCGCAAGTATAGCACCAAAGGAGCAAGGCCCAAAAACTGCTCTACTTATCAACGTAATCGTCAAACTTCTAGTAATGTTAGGACGTTAGTTCCAAAGTGCTCGAAGGATTTCCCAAAGACAAGCAATGCTGGTACACAGACTTGCCTGGAACACTCAGGATTTTGTATTTCCAGACATTCCTTGGCTACAACAACCTGCTCTAGCGCATATGAGATTGAGATGGAGGACGTTAGTTTTAATAACGCTACTGCTTCCCTGCTTAATTTTCCTTTGAAAGTTCCTGTTTTTTAGTACTAATTGGACTTGATCATGAGCAAACTTATATCTTGCATGCGTCAGAAATTCTTCAAACAAAGCGCGTTGTTTTTTGTTCTAAATAATAAGTTCGTTGAAAGACTTCCTAAAGCTAATTTTTTTCAGAGTTCTTTGTATGCCTCAGACACTTACAGCTTAGCTTCGCCAGAAAAAAATACTGGAAAAGATGAAGGGAGATCTACTGCAGCATCGCCGTTCTCAGGTATAATTTTTCACTAGAAAGAAGAACAAAATAAACGGAAATTTTTTTTTTTTGTGTGTGTATGTTGAACAACACTAACCTTCTGTAACTAGTGATCCCCTGGGTAAGACTTTTATGCTTTTAAGGCGACGCATGCGACGAACCATGTTCCTCAGATATAAGGTGTTGGATATGCGGTAAAGCTGGTTCATTAACCAGATACTGTGTTGCGGAAACGTCGGTATTCAACTGCCTTTGCGGAAACATGGTTGATAAGAAGGTCACCTCCCAATTCACCGATGTCAATGTAAAAGAATTAGATTGATAGCTATATTTTCTGCCTTTCTTCAAAAAAGGTGCAAATTCTCTTTTATGAGGTATGTGTTTGGGCCAATGAAAATATATATTTTCGCTTTATAGATATCAGCATCTAGAAGGAAGCGTGTGAAGAAAGAAGTTTTGTATACTAGTGACGAATCTAGTTCTGAAGAATTTGAAGAGGAGGACTCTGTATGTGAAGCGTCTTGTTGTGGTTATAACAAAAAAGACAGCTGACTTAACCTTCTATTATTTCACCTTCATGCTTGACCGTGAATTATCTTAGACCTAAGATTTAATTCTACCATAGGTGCACAGTTGTTTACAAGAACTCATTGTACTTCATTTGGTTCCCTCATCCCTAACTTGTTTGTGCGACACTAGTTTTTTAGCAAGCTGTTTACACTGAACTCTCATTACCGGTTAATTGACACTGTGTTGGTTGTATGACGAGAATTTAAATTCTCTGTTTGGATAAACAGTCCCTTCAGAAAAGGTAGCGAAGATTTTGGTATTAAGGGTAAATTCTGAAGTTATTAGGGGTTTATTTACTTTAAGTATCGTATAGGGTTTCAGTCACTTTCAACTTACTTTTTGATACTCATCGGTTCGGATGTAAGCGGACAGCAAAATTTTTCTTTTACATTTTAAGGAGTTTGGAGAACTTGTAGGTGATTCATCACGACTGCTTTATACGTCAAGTAACATCCGATTGTTATCCTTTACGACTGTTGTTTCCCGCTGTTAAAGTT